TGTAATTTCATACCGGCTGTGAAAAAGTGCAACATCTTTTAGACTTACATGTCGGATTGAACTGCTAATTCTAATCCTTCTTAATGACCAAGACAAAACATCAAGCTTATGAAGTTACTGGCAAAAAGATAGTTATATTTTTACTATCCCAATTGCCACGCGAGTAGCATGTCTAATATCTTAGAATCTGTAGCATGTCGTAGTAGTAGTACGTCTAATATCTAGAATCTTGAGTTGTGTCTTGTCTCTCGTCAATAGTGTAACGTTAAAATTTTAGTCAAAAAACGAAATAACCTTCTTTTTATCCAGCCGTCTGAAAGCAGCTCTTGGATTTTCCTCTGCTAAACGCCCTGAAAGAAGACTTTTTGAAGCGGATTGTTATCTACTTTAAGCTCTGTCATTTCAAGTAAGATTGCGAAGTTCGCGTGTAAATATTTAAACACTGAAATGAAACATCTCAGCACCGGCTGGCAATAGGAGTCACATTCCAAATAATCGAAGCACTCTCAACAGCGATTGATAGCAATGACCTTGAATGGTGAATTCAAAAACATAGCATGCCAGTGGTCAACCTACAATAAGGAAAGAAAAAATGTTTGTTATACTCACTAATCGAATCGATCAAAAACAAACATCAGTAGCTGAAAATAAATAATCTTTCCGCTTTAAAGAAATACGTACCTCCAAATAATTCACCTGACTTACCAGTAGCCAGGAATGTTATCAGTCAAATTTCAATAGTTCAACAGTATAAACAGGAGAAATTACACGTATGATTATTATCCTAAAAAAAAAGGAAAGCACGTTTTAAAGTCATCTGACTTATTGAGCAGCACAAAGACAGGAGCATAGTCATAGGGCCACTTTTGTTATGATTTGATTAATCTAGTTGAAAAAAGAAGAAATTGAGAAACTTCTTTCTCAAACCAATAGTTTTCAGCTGCAAAAAAGGTGTAAAGAAAACTTACAGAACCACAGCCAGCAAAGACAACGTCACCGCCGAAAGGAACAACCCGCAAAGACATTTCAATCCTTTAATATTTACACTGGGAAACCAAACTCAGTATTAGCTAATAAAATAATCAGTAGTTATTTACCTGCGTATCCTGAGTCTTTATGAATCGTTTTGGAAGCTAGGGATTTGAATCCGATCAGAGAAAGTTAACATTGCCGGTTTGAAATGTTTGCTTGTCTTGTGCGTCGTACATAGGATGCAGCAGTTACGTCTCAAGTTAACTATTAACTCTCCTTGGGAGACAATCTCGGTTTCAATTTAACGGCCTCGAGAAGAGAAAAGAGACAAGGGATGAAACTCTGTAAAAGTAGCGGTATTCGTACGATCTGTGACACCAATGAGTTGACTTGATCAGTCTCACTCGTGGATCATGGAAATGCGCGACAATCTCAGCGACACGAAAAGTGAATCAATCTCCTGTTCGTGGTAATTGAAATGTTAATTGTTTTTAGAACTGGTGAGTCGAACTATATTTTTTCGTGTACTTTCCTCAGTTGTTTTCAGGTATAAGAGAAGGGCAATTATTACTACAATCATAGGATATTTTACCAAGCGATCTTAGTCGCTATTATTGGAAAATTTTAACAATGAGAATAATGAGTAAACACATATATCATTTACATTGCGCAAATTAACATAAAAATATGATCAAATGCGCATTACACAAATGAAGAATTAAAACTGATAAAATATATATACAATCGCAATATAAATGCAAAACAACTTAAAATATGAGATAAACACTGTAAGAATTCTAAGACTAAAGTAGGTTAAAAGGCTTTAAAAAGTTAAAAAATATAAATATGAATGTTAAAAAGGTTTAAAAGTACGTTCAGGTAACTAAGTGATAAGCTATTTTAAAATAATAGCTCTTGAGAAACTTCTTAAATGTATTAAAGTTCTTTTCATTCCTGATATGTAATGGAAGGCATTTTTACAAAGTATTTTTTGTGCCAAATCAAGAGCCAGGATTCGCTAGACCGTTTAGAAATTGTCTGGTGAGAGTCGGTACCCGGGGGCTCTTCCGCCCGTGCTTGAAACCTTTCGTCGCGCCTTTTCTCCTGACCAGAATGACTTCCCCTCGGTCTCCGAGGATGTGACGACCGAAAATACGTCTGTTTCCGCAGGCTATGCGGACAACGGACACTTGTTTCTTGCCCAATCAACAGATTCTCATAGAAAGTCAATGTTGCTCATGCGGGAACTGTGGGCAATGAGCACACCGTCGGCTTTAGGTTTGTTAGTCAGATGACTATTACATGCTACCGACATAAAATAAGGACTCTTTACCTTTTCTTAACTCTTACCTTCAAAAATCCGAGAACGCATCCCTGCCTCCTGTACGTAAGAAAGTTAATGCACGATTTTCAGTTTTCAATTATATCGACTTTATCCCCCACCCCTTAGGAAACATTTTATGGTTCCTATTTATAATCAGAATCAGAGGAATCAGAATCATCAGTCTGTTTGTTTCAAGCAGAACATATATATATCGGATATTTCCTGTTAAATCTCTTGTTATTTTCATTATTCAGCATCGCTATTTGGATATTAAATTCTTGTGTACTTAGGTTCGCCATTTTATTTTATTTATTTGTGGTTTTCCTTTTGCTGTTGTTATGCATTCGTTCTTAGTTCAAAAACGACAGTTGAATGCAAGGAAGAATGCCGTTGTTGTGAAGTAAAGAACTCGGGAGAAAATAAAGAACGCAACTCATTTAATCGCAGTAATATTTAATCGACAACATGTTCACAGCACTCTTAAGCTTAGCTGAAGGTTGCCCGGAAACTTTATCCTACCGCCTACCTGTATGGACCACGAAGGCCTGATGCTATAGATAATGTAACACTAATCACCTGGAGATTTGCCCTTTTGATGGACACCTCAGCCTCCTCACAACTTTCCAGACTTTGTAGTTGGTCAAGATGATCACTCCAGAGTCCGCATTGAGCTTTGATTTAGTTCTAATCAGTTGGCGAGTGCGCAATAAAATGCAGTCATATTTGCAGCAATCATAGTCATCCTTGAGTGTTTCAGTACAAATTTAGTGCCATTTAATGCCAAATTAAAAATAACAGCGATCCCTGCCCCGCGGTACTCCCATGATTATTTTTGCCGGGAGACGCAACACATCGATTGTTAAAAAAACTCGACCAGAGAGATATGTGCTGTAACATGCCACTGACACCTCCCTGCCACTCCTTAAGACTTGAGCCTTGTTAATGATCGATCAAATGGCGCCTTGCAAAGGCCCAGGAACACTGCTTCCGTCACAGAGTTCCCAAGAGTTTAAAAAGTCTAGAAAGCTACTTCGCTGTGCTTAATTCATTTCAATGATAGTGGACTACAAGTTTAAAACTCTAAACGAATCTTATTTAAAATTTATAACAACAAAAGGAATATCATGTCCTTTCAATCTCTTTTACTCAGTGATCCTAACCATAGTTTCTTTGTTAATCTTGTTCTTAAACAACTGATTCTCGAACACAAGCGGCGAAACCGTATCTTAGAGAGAAAAAGGAAATGTGCCTTAATATTGGACATAGCAATTCAAAAAGAGGAAAGAGCAAGAAAAATATCCACTTAGTGAAAACATAAATGATAATTATAAATTAGTAAACAAATAAATATTAAAATAATTTTCCTTTCCTGGAAGTCTCATTATTTCATTCATCATCACAGGGAATGTGCATGTAATTTTAAATAACTCAGTGTGTGGTTTAATGCTTGTTTATTGACTAATTTCCATAAAAATAAAGGAGCAGATGGATAAACGCAGAAAATTGTAAACTACTGACCAAATGTCAAACAGCGATGACTAAAATTATGAAAGAAGAGCGCGCTCTGATTGGTTGGTTAGCCATCTACAATGTGCCCATTGGTGCAGGTCAACAAAAAGCTGTGCGCGGTAAAATTGTGGCAAATTGGGCAAATCTACTCCGCTTGTGAAGTTTAAAATGTACCGACGAAATGTACAAATTAAAGAAAAGTAGAAGTTGAAAAATTGTTGATTGACTTTTTGAAGGAAAGCGAAGAAATCAAGCGACAAATTTGCCTTGGAGGACTTCATCATTGTTTTCTTCGCGGCAGAGAGTTCCAAAGAACAACCGAGTGAGCGAAGTTTTTTAGCGATTTAAGCCCGTGATTCAAGGTACATTTTGCGTGTTTTTGTATTAGAGAAAGTTATGCATTGAAATGGAAATATGCATTGTCTTATCAACTTTTCAGTCAAGTTGATGTTAAATTGAAGTAAATATATTAGGAAACGCGCTCAGATTCGAGACAGCTTTATGTGTAGCTTTGGTGAGTAAGTTTAGTTGAGAGTAGAACACATGACACTGGAGTTGTAGTGCAAATTTCATTCAAGTAAAAACAGCTAGGTTTTCAAACAATTTTTTTCAAAAATTGACTTCTCTGTTTATTACTTTGTTCGTGTTCATTCATAACAGTAGCTCAAAGCACGATCTTATTAAAAAAGGCAGCAGCATCTAAATTGCTCACGCATCGCTTTGCAGCGCCGATTGTATCGGCGAATTTTTGCAATTTTGACTTTCAGCTCCATTTCCCACGGACATCGCGTGCAGTGTTCGGGGGGCTCTTCGTATTAACGTGGAAACTTCATCCCTGTCTCTCAAAAATGAGGCCATTCCTTAAAATCTCGAGGCCACCTGACTGCAAGTCCAGCGCTTGGCTACGTAGGCTCAAACATTTCGAAGCATGACTTCTCCTATCCTACGAATACAACCTCAGCGAAGCATGACTTCGCCTATCCTACGAATACAGCTGTCTCTCCTCGCTCCTCGCCGCAAGGGACGTTTAACATCTCTTTTCTGCGGCGAGGAGCAGGGAAGACGGCTAATTCGCAGGGTAGACTTTTCCTGCCCTCAGACCAAATTCTAACCCGGATTTCTTTTTGGTAAAAGCCCTTTTCAGGCGTTTCAGTAGAAAAAAAGAAGAAATTGGTCTGATGTAAATTGGATTGACATGACCGAAGTTGGATTAACTGCGATCCTCTTATTAACAGTGCAGTCCTTTCTTATCATCTTTAACATTGTCGGGAACTCTTTGGTTTGCGCAATCATCGTGCGGAATCAGGACATGAGGTACGCTTGAGGAAAAAATAATGTAGTGGTTCCATTCGCCACTTTAGAAACAAGAAGGCAACTGGAGCGGAAATGTGTCCCGCAATCGCTTCTGGGATCGTTACTCGGGATGCGCCGGTCAGCTATTGGACAATTTTTTTCCCCTGTCCTTAGTAACAGTCTCATAGGACTTCGCAAAAGTTAATTCCAGCCTGTTTCCTTTTCGTTTCTAAAATGGAGAATTGGCGTTGACAGCAACGTTCAGCTGTTCCCAGCACTTCCATGCCAATTAATTAAAAATTACTCCTCAAGCCCGAATGGGCTCTGAGTCAATAGCCCATAAGACCGAAGGCCGAATGGGCTATTGACTTAGGGGCCATGAGGGCGAGAGGAATAATTGTTTTAGTAAAATCCCACTAGTGGTCAAAAATATCGAGACAAAACAACTTTAGCTGGTTAAGGCTAGACTTTAATTCTTTTTTTGCCGCCAAAAAGCCGGCGCGTTTCGCTACTAGTGGGCTATAACATATAGCCTAGTAGTAGCTCAACCAATCAGAACGCAGTAATAATAGACTACTAGTTGGATTTTACTAAATGAAATATTCGTGCTTTATTTTTCAGTTGGATGGGTTTTCTTTTTTGCCTAGCATGCGCCTGTAACTATAACCGATGCGCACGTGCCCCCTAGCGCTGTTTATGTGTTCGGTGGTTCAGGCAAAATAAATCCTTTCACCTCAGTAGGACTCGAACCCACAACCTCCAGACTAGATCTGCTGTTGTCTCTCTACCAAGTACGCTACGAGGCCTAGCGGCTTGAACAAGTCGAAACAGCATCACCATCAGATCTAATAAAGACATCGAATTCTCACCGACGTCAATAGACCTTTTTCTTCAAATCGGCGTGATATCCTCTAATTCCCTCTCCTAGATATAGGGCTACTAACAATCAACTCTCTTGAAGAAGGACACCTTCGGGGCCGGGCCTGCATGTCTGTCCGTCTTAGAGAGGTGTCCGGCTTATAGAGAGTCAAGGTAACGTGATACCAGTAAAAACGTAAGCTGAACCCATTCTCATTGAATACTCTTCTGTTTAACCAATGTCAAGTGAAATAATTCTCTTATTAACCAATCAAATCGTTTCAAGAAAACGTTCATGGCTTCGTTGTACAAACGTGTAATAGTATAAAGCCGCAGGGATCTGTGTATCATAAAATTAAAAGTAATGAATTACCAGACGGAGCATGAAGCGAACTCAGTGAGGATCACTGAAAGATTATTTTTACAAGTGGTTTTGATTTTTGCCGTCATACATTCCCCATGTAAACATGCACTTCGAATAGAGTCGACGATTAAACGTTCTGTGGACGATTTGAAACTTTTGTATAGTCAGCGCGGACAAAGCGCCAGGATCATTGGATTTTTGTCATCACGTTGGAGTGGATTTCGCCACCTCAAGCAGCGCGGTGTTCCAAGGCGATGACCTACGTAGCAACTAAATAACGAGGAATGCGTTAGTTCCGAAATTTCAGTCTTCCTTTATAACTTGTATTACCAGGAGTGTTACCTGATAAAAACTGGCACTTGAAAAGTTGAACAGTACAGAACATTCGCTCGGCTGTGAAGCTAACTCAAAAGTAATTACCAAGCGAGGAATTTATGACATCGAGCTCCGGTCCAAACTAAGACACAGTTATCTTGAAGAAAAACGAAGTGGATTGTATCTGCGCCTAAATAATCATGACTGACTAACAGGGCAATTCTTAGAAGTCAGTATAGCTTCAGTTTAAGATACAATTCTTTCCTTTAGATTCGCATCTGTAGATCACTTTTCGTTACAAACGAGCTGGGCCCGGTGTAATAAAACATAGAAGGGAATCATCACTGACGGACAAAACAACTACAAGTATTTATTCAGGTAAACGAATTTCGGAAAAAAAGAATTAAAAACTAAAACCTTGATTAATATAAAGGGTCATTTAGCCGAAACAAAATACAACGCTTAAAAAAATTGACTAAAGCAAACCGGTGCTAGAATCGAATCCTGTCAGAACTACAGACAATAATTTGCAGGAAACAGTTAATCAATATGCATGGAACAGACCAGCTTCATTTACACAGTCAGAGTTTAAAATTCTCCACAGTGTAGTCTACACGCTAGAACGAAAAGATAAAAAATCTCTGCGGGATTTTATAGAGCAAAACGCTAAAGTCACGTTTCACTAGCTTATGATTGATTCCTCATGTGCTGTTTGATGAAGAACAATAGTGCTTTTTTAGGTATGGGGCTGCGCTCGCGTTCGTGGAGCTCCGCTATTAATTGCCAACTTATATTCTCCAATATGGAGTAGAGTTTCTTGTGTGATCAGGAAACGCCACAGCGGCAGAACCATTAGACTGAAATCTCGTGTCCATGCGTGTGGTTGATATTCAACGTGTTAATAAAAAAATCACTGCATATTATAGAAACACGAATGTTAAAAACAACAACAACAACAACCACAAAGGAAATTAATCCACCATTGCATGCAACCTCTCCACTAAAAACTCATATATTATTTTCCTTGTTTTAACTTCCAAAGGACGTCAATAAACTTTCTACTCATGAACTTGGCGGTAGCAGATATGACCGTAGCCACGTTTTTTGCACCGCAATACGTTTTGACACACGCCTTCACCCATCCAGATGGATTAACTGGCACAATACTGTGCAGACTACTGACTGGCGGAAATTTAGGTTGGATAGGAGCTGCTGCGTCAGTGTTCACCTTGGTTGTGACATCAATTGAACGATATTACGCAGTGCTATATCCTCATGAAAACAATGGAAGAATTTCTAACCGCAAGCTCAAGGTATTTTTGATTAACTCTAAGGTTTAACTTATAAATGGCATTATTAATTTTGTTTTTGCGTGTAACACCTGTCAAGTAGCATTCTCATTCCCAGTCTGCCTCAACGAGTTTGGGTGTGACATTTCATCGCGAGAGTTGACCTACGAACCATTAGAAAACAACGGGCCGAAAAATACAAAGTAGCAGCGCTTCGACCGTTTTTAAATTTTTTATTAGTGGTACACAATGATAGCCTTCTTGTCTAAATCAAGTCTTAGCAGACCATATATACGTTTTCTTTAATATCATTTCAGGTGATTATACCTTGTTCTTGGATATTTGGAGTGGTAATCAATATCCCGGGGTTTATCTGTGCGAATTATGTTAAGGCTGAGCAAGCTTGTGCTTATGTGTGCCCTGAAGAATGGATCGGCCAGCTCTATAGTTCCACTTGGTGTTTGTTGGTAGCATTTCTGCCGGTGTGTTTGATGACTTCTTTGTACTCCCGTGTCGTGGTCACTTTGTGGTTCAAAAGTGCAAAGTCCGATGAAAACAGCAGTCAGCAACTACAGGTGTGAAACAATACTGACATTAGTTCAGTTCAGTAATAACAGTAGTGGGGGTAGTAGTAGTGGTGGTGACGGTTGTGATGATTATGGTTATGGTGAGTGGTGGTGGTGGTGGGGATGGTGAAAGTAGTAGTTGGGATGGAGATGGTGGTAGTAGTAGTGGTGGTAATGTTAGTGACTGGAGATTGTGTTGATGGTGGTGGTGGTGAGTTGTGGTGGCGGTGGGGATGGTGGAAGTAGTAGTTGGGATGGAGATGGTGGTAGTAGTAGTGGTGGTAATGTTAGTGACTGGAGATTGTGTTGATGGTGGCGGTGGTGAGTTGTGGTGGCGGTGGGGATGGTGAAAGTAGTAGTTGGGGTGGAGATGGTGGTGGTAGTAGTGGTGGTAATGTTAGTGACTGGTGGTGGTGTTGATGGTGGTGGTGGTGAGTTGTGGTGGCGGTGGTGGTGGTGGTAGTGATAGTGGTACTGCAGTAGTGGTGGTCATGGTAATAGCGGTGGGCGGTAGTGGTGGTGGTGGTGGTCATGGTGGCTGCGTAGTTTTGGTGGAGGAGGTGGTGGTAGTAGCAGTATTTGTTGTTGGTGGTGCTGGTGTTGTTTTACATAAAGTATAACTAAAATTATTTTACTTTGTAATCTTTGAAACAAAAACTGTTGGTTACAGTTTAATGTAGTAGTATCGTTGCACAGACCTGAAACGATTACCAAGCAAGAGACTGATTGTTTAAACTGGATTGCATTTGACAAATCGAAATTAGGGCAATGATTTTATCCTATTTCCCGTTATTTTCTCCCTTTACATATTACTAAACTAGGCTGTAGTATTGAGAGCTAGAAGGATCTGTAACAAAGCAAATTGTAACAATTCAACTCTTATTTGACGGGTTTATTAAGTAAGTCACTCTGGTAGTAAAAGTTGTCGCGGTGGTGCCAACAGCGGAAGTGACTGTGTAGTGGTACTGATAGTATAATGCTAGAAGTTGAGATAAATATAGCACTCGTTATAAGAGCAGCAGACAATATCACGTTGTGCGCAATTACATTATCATAAATCTTCTATTACCCTCTCCCCGTCTCTATTAAGCCCCACCCCCTCAAACGTTCTTGAAATAAATTAGCCCCGGGGAGGCTTAGTAGAGACTAGATTTATTGTCAAAAAGGGATAACCCCTTATATAAGCCATATAGGTATGTGCAGCCCCAAGGGGTATGGTTTTTGCGCCGGTACGATCTGACAACGGGTACAGACTTTGCCCTTTCTTTTCTTTCGAGGGAATTACGGGAGTGTAAGAACGTCTTTGTCGTTTTTGAGTGAGAAAGGGTGATATACGAATTCGAAAGGTAGTTGAAGGAATCTTTTTTTTTGGCGTTCTAATCTAAGTAATAATGACATAATTGCGCGTTTGTGACCGGCCCCTGCCAAGTAAAGTCTATAGGCCAGGTTTGAAAACGGGTATGGATTTTAGAAGCCAGGTGACAGAACAGTGTGAAAATGACACTTTTTGGCTTAAATAAGGTTAGGATTTTAAGAACTAGGCGGCACACCTCCACCAGGAAATCCCGGAGTAACTCCGCGTTTACGGTATACAAATTGTTTTTATTTTTTTAGGGTGTGATAAAGGTGCGAAAAAGAGTTACTTTGATGGTGCTGATTATCAGTTTCATTTTTGGGGTGTGCTGGTTAACCGACTCAGCTAATTACGTCGCCTACTACTTTTTCTCCTATCCTGCATTCTTACCATACGCAGCATCTAACACGATGATCTTGTTCAATTCTGCTATCAATCCAGTGGTGTACGCCTTAGTCAACCTGAGATTCAGGCAAAAAGTGAGGGGAATGTTGTGCGGCAATTGCTATAAGGCGTCTTCCACGGTGCATCCGTCAAGAGGAACTTACGAAATGGAAGTTACTAACGGCCGAATCCAAGAGACAGATGAAGTCTGCACTGGATGACGATAGTTTTAGCAAAATTTCCTTTCCGTCCGTGGTGGTTCGTCCCTATATTTTGATGCAATTTCTGTTTTTTATTATTATGTTTCCTTGAAGTACTACCACCTAAGATTCTCAGTGGTTGCAGATGTCCAACGGAGAAGTGTTGCTTCGACTGCAAATTACTTACAGCTGTTTTGAGCCCAGACTGACGAAAATGATTTGGGTGCCTCAAGCAGTTTACAAGCCATTTTACGCAGGGAAAAACTTGTGTCTTGTTCTACAGTAAACAGGACGTATTTGCGTTGCTGAGTGATTATTAAACGTCAACATGAAAGGTGCCAGAACTGCACTGGGGAAAACTGTGCTGTTCTATAACGACACTAAATGTTTGGAGGAAAATAACTTACAAGAAAATAATTGAGGAATTGTACATAAGAATGGTACAATTTGTAACTAGATTCTGAAATACTACTAGTAATAACCAAAGGTTAAAGAGTGCGGGCGACAACGATCGGAGGTCTAATGCTTTTGTTCCAACGCTGTGCCTTGCGTAAGTTTAACGTGACAGATGATCAAAACACGCGTGATCAGATTACGAGGGGTAGAAGGTACAAACGCGCGTGTTCAATTCGCATTTTGTGCATTTCATTCATTCTTAGTGGAAGTCCAAATGAATGCTGGCTACGCACATACGACGCATGTGTAATAACTACCTGGACATTAGGATTGCGGGTTCCTCTTGTCGCCCACAAATATATAGATTTGGCTAGGGCTAAAAGCGAAGCTCCCGTTAATAAATTTATAATTTGAATCGAACAATAAACTTATAATCCACAAATCATTTAACTTTAGCGCACATTCATGAGACTTTTGAAGGAAAGGCTCAGTGATTTTAGAGAAAACTAATCTGCAAACAGTCCAAAAGAGAAAAAAAATTTACAGATTCAGATTTTCAGATTTTTATTTATTGGCCTATTTCAATAGTTTACTTCAAAAAAATTGCAATACATCACAAAAGTAAAATAACACAACATTAAATTACATAAAACATCAAAAATGGAATGTGTGCAGTAATCAAAGGAGCTTCTGCTTTCGAGTTGGTCACTGCCACGTGTAACTTTAAATATCGTACAACAGAGACAGGAAACTTAAGAGTGCATAAATTTATACTTACAATTTTATATAAAAAGCAATGGAAATGATAATTGATAGTGAGGGCAGTGAAATCAAATTACTCAAATTATCCACTGCTGATGAAATTTAAGGATAGATGCAGATCTGGTGTTGTAACCATGAACCTCAGAAGCTAGGGTAAGGGACGTTGTTGCATTGTTAGTAATTTTATGTGTGAAAAGGGATACTTTGAATTTGTAAATTTTTTCAATTGTAAGAATTTCTAGAAGATTGAAGTATGGCATAGCATTGTCCCTGCCATAAGCAAAGAACAAGTTACGAACACATTTATTCTGTTTAGTTTTAATCTTACGTAACCTGGTCTTACAAACACTGCCCCAGCGTGTAATACCATAAGTTAAATATGGATAAATGAAGGAGAAATGAAACTGCTTTAAATTAAGAAGATCTACATAGGAAAATAAAGGGAGATGTAAAGAATCAACCATAAGAGGAGACAGAAAACGTCTGAGCCCCAGATGGGATTCTAGATCGGATGCTCTAACCTCTGAGTTACTGAGGACTCGTTGGCGAGCAAGGGTCATTTTTGTGGGTTGGACTTGCGTACCGCATCTCGCAGTCACACAGTCCATCACAGGCAACACATAGGGCTTAACTGTATCACACAGTCACATTAATACTAAGAAATGTCTAACTAAGGAGCCTCCAACCAACTTACATTTTTCAATAGCTTTGTTTATGTTTTGAATCTGTGATCCCCAGTGTAAATTTTGATCGATATATACACCTAGATATTTTATTTGACTTTTACGTTTAAAATATCGAATAATTATGTATACCTCCATTTGATCTTGAAGATGAGATTACCATATAGCCGGTTGTCTTAGCAAAATTTATAGATAGCTTGTTTGTGATGCAATACATAAAAACTAATTTCAATTCCTCATTCATGACTGTTTCAAGATGTTGCAACTTATCACTGGTGTAAAACATATTTGTGTCATCAGCAAAAATTCGAAATAATAGTTTCTTCGAGCAGTTAGGCAAGTCATTTATATAAAGTAAAATAATAGTGGACCCAGCGTTGACCCTTGTGGTATACCACAAACAGTCGTTTCATAGCTGGATTTAGTATTGCCAATGTTAACAAACTGAGTACGATTATGTAAGTAGTCTTTAAACCAGTTAAGAATGTAACGTCATGTTATGGTTGTTATCCATTGGGATACAAGGTTTTACATGTGCTCGCGATCTTGTACAGGAGCTTTCAGCGAAGTGAATCTTATAGATTAAAATATCGTTTGTTTACTTTTACGAGAACTGTTTTGTTTCTTTACAAAGCCAAAACGTTCTATGGTGTCAGAAAGCGTTTCGAATTCACGCTTTCGTTTGGTTAACAACGTCATATTTGAACGTCAACCCTAGTCAACAGCAAGTTTAGCAAGCGATTGAAGCGTGGCCCGCCGATCCACCGATTGAAGGAGGACAACCCATACAAGCTGTTTAAGCACCGATATTTACCAGTAACGTCCCAGTTCCTCCAAAACTTGAATTATCTGGAAATCTTGCTAATAATTGGAAGCAGTGGAAGCAGGTTTGGAGTGCTTATGAATTAGTCACGCGTCTCAGTGAGCGGACCGACGAGTATCGAGTGGCCGCATTTATCACATGTATCGGTCCAAAAACGCTCACTATTAACAATTGCCTTCCGTTCCAGAGCGAAGACGAGAAGAAGAATTTAGCGTAAATCCTAGAATTATGGGAATCCTATTGCCTCGGGAAAACGAACATTATTTATGAAAGATATCGCTTCAATAATCGTAAATCAAGACGCCGGTAAATCAATAGATACTTACCCATGAAATTTGAGATCTCCCTCCGATACGTGCAACTTTGGACCGCTTAAAGAAGAAATGATAAGGGACAAGATTGTCTGCGGAGTTCCAGCAGTTTAACCCTCGGACGTGTATACGTACACGCAAATTTATACTCCCGCCGTGGTACGAAGGGGGGGGGGAAGTTGAGGGAACTCCTCCTCATATGTTGCAGTATTTCGAAACGATTTTACCTTCAGTGGAAAGCCTATGATCTTCGTAAGAACATGAGGTATAATTTACGGATGGTGGCGCTGCTGCAGGCCCTGATATCACCAATAGTGGTCGCAATCTTGGCCGCCATCTTGGATTTTACCAAGAGTTAGAAATCAGGATGAAACCGCGAGAAATGGTGATTTTTTGTGCTTAACATGAAAAATAACACATAAATAAGCACTTTGCATAATTTTAGCCACAAGATTTACTTTTATCGTTGAAAAAAGTTGAAAAACATATACTTTCACTTAAAGATGGCTTGACCACCTGCTACGTATGACATCATATCTCGTAACCATAGAAACTGACCATCACTTAATTTGATTCAAAATGCGCGCGAGCGATGAACGAACAGCTGCTGAAAACATCAGGTGCTGACGTTTTATCCTCTAGAAAAAAAACTCAGAAAAACCTTTTATGCCCGAGGGTTAAGAAAAAAATACTCCAAGTACCGGAACTAGCACCGAAGCTACGTCGACTCAACTGGAAACTATGATAGCGCAAAATTCACACACACCCTCACCCCCTGAGGTGAAAGAAAGAGAGAAAGAAAGTGTCCTTCTTTCAAGAAAATTTGCTCTGCTTGTCAAAAGAGAATCATTTTGCTTTGAAATGTTCCCACAAAAGAAGCCATACATGAAAAAGAAGCCAAGAAACAGGAAAACTCCACAGAAGCATTCAGTGAATCAGTTTGACTTTGATGAAAGTGAAGAGGAAATTCTTTCAGTATCCTGCGCTGAGGAAGAGATAACCGCTCAAACAACGTCCTGGCCACTGTGAAGATTGGTGGGAAAGAAGTGAAAAGGTCTCAGGTGCATCCTGCAATGTTCTGCCCATTAAGTACCTCCCCAAAGGAACTGTAGTTGAGAAATCGAACCACACCTTCAGGATGTACTCAAAGTCAACCATGTCAGCCATTGGAAAAGCAAAAATCTCCCTAGTTAATCCTAAGAACATGGAAAACTACCTGATCGACTTCACCATTGGTGATGGCAATTTTTCTCCATTGGTCTAGAAACTGCTCAGCAGATGAACCTACTGGCTGTGAACACTCAGAACATTTTGTCCATTAGAGAAGATACATTGAATACATTGTTTTGTGATGCTGAGAAGCCTAAGTTCACGAAAGATGCTGTGATAGTGAATATTCAGACGTCTTCGCCTAAGAGTTAAGGCACACGGAAGGGAAAGTACACCTTGAATCAGACCCAAATGTCGCTCCCTCGGTTATGCCTCTACGACGTGTACCTGTTGCACTTAAAGAGAAACTGAAGAACGAATTTGAACGGTTAACTTAGAGGAAAGTGATTAGCCCTATTCAAGAACCTAGAGACGGGGTTTCAAGCATGATTGCAGCCACGAAGCCAGATGAGAACATTTGTTTGTGCATTGATCCCCATTACTTAAACCAAGCTTTAAAACGAATCCATTACCCTCTCCCGGTGATAGAAGAGATCCTGCCAGAACTCTCAAAGGCTAAGGTATTCAGCAAAGTTGACTTTAAAGAAGGCTTTCTTCAAGTTGAATTAGACGAAGAATCCAGTTAACGTACTGTCTTTCAGACACGCGGGGGCGCTATCGCTGGCACAGAATGCCCTTTGGAATCACCCCAGCCCGAGAAGTTTTTCAGATGAAACTTGACCAAAACTTGGAAGGACTAAAAGGAGTCCTCAAAATTGCTGACGATATACTAATCACTGGTCAAGGAGAAACAGAGCGAAAGGCGGATGAAGTCCACGACAGAATTCTTAAGTCCCCCCTGGATCGATGAAGGGAGCGGAACTTCAAACTTAACAA